ATATGGTGTCGAATTGGACGGAGCCAATTGATTTGAGCGGCAATGACTTGCTGATGAAGATGGTGTTGGCTAAAGTGACTTTGAGGCCCTTAGAGGCTAAGATCTTGGAGAACTGGAGCAAGGGGTTTATGTGACCTTGAGAAGGATAAGGAATTGCCAGGATGTGGCCTCTAAATTTGTCTTCCATTTGATCTCTCTCTCTAAAACTTAGGGTGTGGCTGTGCTGTGCACTGTGAATAATGGAGATATATATATACATGGTATACAAACTAAGTACTGTTCATTCATGGGCATTCCGTTTTGAGTAGGTTTAAATCGCAATCACATGTAACCTAACAAGACTGGTAGATAGATATTCTTGAAATCCTCATCTTTTTGTCTCAGCTTTAGCTTTTCAGGTCCTGCCCATCCCTTCCATTAATTGTAAGTACACGCATCACATCGCTCTCATTCTCATTCTCACTCTCAGCTAGTTGTTGGGTGGAGCAAGCAAGCAAGCATCGTGATTGATTAGCATGATGCTAATCTTTTTGTCTTAGCTTTAGCTTTTCAGGTCCTGCCCATCCCCTCCATTAATTGTAAGTACACACATCACATCGCTCTCACTCTCATTCTCACTCTTAGCTAGTTGTTGGGTCAAGCAAAAAAGCAAGCATCGTGATTGATTAGCATGATGCTTATGGTAGGGATGGGCCACTTAATTAAGTGGTTAAATTCTACTGTAGAAGTCTCTGAACTTTACCCTCAATTATAATTGGGTCCATGAACTTTTTTTTTGAGGCAATTACATCCTTTCACTGAACAAATAGTTCCAATTAGATCTTGCCATAACAGAATCCGTCGAGTTTGACCGTGTGTGTAGCACGTGCTCTTGTTGTGAGGGGTATATTCGAGTTTTAATCGTTTTGAACGAAACAAAATCCAATTTAGCATTGGAGAGAGGGGGAAAGCACTTTTCGATCTTTCATACAGTGAATCGACCTTGACCCTTCTGAGGCAGCCATTGGAGTTCAATTTGCTACAGTAGTGATTGAGTGAGTGAGAAATTTTGTATGTAAGCTTCGAAATTTGGGGTTGATTTGGGTACAATTAAGGGTTAGGGTTTCATTTTGGGGATAGTTGGGTTTTTTGTCTTTTTGGCTGATAGTGATGGAAGAGTTTGACTTTCGTTAGGGTGGTGTTGCTCCTAAATACAGTAAGTGATTCTGCATGTTTGAATACATATCAGTTGGTTTTGTTTTCAACTATGTGGTCCATAGCTTTTTAAGATTCCTTACACGCTTTGCTTTATACTATCATTGACTGCAACATTTAGGGTTTTTTTAATCCCTTCTTGTCTTCTATGCCTCACACCAAATTGACTAAAGTTATTCCATAGCAATTAAAAAAAGTCTCCAAATTGTGTATTGTATATTTTGGTTTTGGTGCACAACATTGAATTAAAACATGATTTTATCTGATTTTATGAATCCAAAACAGGTTTGTGTGTTTTAGCATTGTTTTGACCCTTGTTTACTGTGCATGTAGTCATGAAAAGTGTACTTTAGAACTTCACCATGGGGATGTGTTGGAAAGTGGGGAGTATAAAAATGGAAAAGTTTATTACATGGATAATGTTATAGATGATTTTTTGTCATTGGTGGACTTAAGAAAGGTAGGGAAAGGGCTTGGTTACAATGTAGACATTTCCAACCACAAACCAAATTTGGAAATATGGTATAGGAAGGGTGGAAAGCATGGTGAATGTGGGCTTGAACTTATCAGCTCTGATGTTTAACTGTTTGATATGTTGGCCCAAATGCCATGTAATAGGATTGTTGTGTTGTACTATACTGAGGTGGGCAATTCTAATACAGTTTGGAGTCAAGCTTCTTTTGGGTGCCGCAGTTTGGATGGGGCAGACAATTATGCAGAAGTGGAACACAATGTTCAAGGGGAAAAGGAAGCTGAGGTGCAAGACAAAATTCAGGTGGAAGATGAAACTGAGGTGCAAGATAATGTTGATGTGCAAGATAAAGATGAAGCCGAGGTTGAAGATAGTGAAGAAGATTATGAGTTTAGTGAAGAAGAATTTGGGTGTAAGACAGTTGAAGTGCCTGTTCATGAAGGGTCAGAGCCCACTATGAATGGTAACAACGAAGGGCCTACTTTTGAGGCTCCTAGAGAAGTGTCATCAGATGGTGAGCACACCTCAGATTTTGATACTCAAAGTGAGGGTGATGGGGATGATATGGAAAGGGATAATGAAGGGACAAGTAAGGTGAGAAGGAAAAAAAAAACTGCCATAGTTTAAGCAGTATATGAGGGAGGTGGACTTAAAGAATCCTGAGTTTCAGCTTGGGATGCAATTTGAAAACAGACAGGTTCTTAAAGAGGCACTGAAGGAATATTTCATTATTCAAGGAAGGTGGGTGTGCTTTGAAAAAATTAACAAGATGAGAGTAAAGGCAATTTGCAAAGGAGGATTAAATTGTCCATTTGTGGATTATGGTTCACAGATAAATCAGGATGTGCAAACATTTGCAATTAAGAAGTTGAGCTTAGAACATACATGTGGGAGGGTGGACAAGCTGAAGTTTGCTAATCCCAAATGGATTTGTGATAGATTTTCTAGCAAGATTAACATAAACACATATTGGAATCTGAAAGCATTTCAAGGAGAAGTATTAGAGTCCTATCATGTGAGGGTGTCCAAAACTCAAGTGCATAGGGCAAAGAGATTGGCTAAAGCACAAATTGAAGGAAACTACATACAGCAATATGCACGGTTGTGGGACTATGCAGAGTAGTTGAAGAATACCAACAAGGGTAATACAGTGAAAATTAAGTGTGATCTGGTTGGAGGTGAAGCAATATTTCAAAGGATTTATGTGTGTCTGGCTGCTTGTAAAAAAAGGGTTTTTAGAAGGGTGCATGCCTGTTATTGGGGTTGATGCTTGCCATTTGAAAGGTCCTTATCTTAGGCAAATATTGACAGTTGTAGGAGTTGATGGTAATAATGGGTTTTCCCAATTGCATATGTTGTGGCTGAGATTGAAAACAAGGACTCGTGGATTTGGTTTATGTCTTTGTTGATTGAAGATTTAGATATTACAAATGGTTTATCCTGGGTTTTCATAAGTGACAAGCAAAAAGACCTCATACATGTCATTGAACATGTATTACCAACTGCAGAGCATAGGACGTGCGTCAGACACTTGTACAATAACTTTAGAGCAACACATCTTGGTCTCACTCTTAAACACATGTTGTAAGCAACTACCAGAGCCACAACTATTCCTTAGTGGGAAGCAGAAATGGAGAAGATAAAAGACGAGGAAATGGAAGCTTGGAAATGGTTGGTACAAAGACCACCTAAAAAGTGGACCAGATCTCTCTTTCATCCAAGGTATAAGTGTGATCTTCTGTTGAACAACTTTATGAGAGCTTTAATGCAACTATAATTGATTCCAAAGATAATTCCATTTTGGCATGTTTGGAAAGTATTAGAATGTATGTAATGCTTAGGATGGCTAATCGAAGGGCTGCTTGTGGAAAATGGAAACACCCTATTGGCCCAAGGATATTCAAAATAATTGAGAAGAACAAGATGAGAGCCTCTCAATGCATTCCTAGATTGGCTGGGGAGAAAATGTATCAAGTTAGTCACATGTATGGTGAGGAGTTTGTTGTAGATCTAAAAGCAATGACTTGTAATTGTAGGAGATGTGATTTATGTGGCATACCCTGTGCACATGCTATTTCAGCTATATTCCACAGAGATGATTGTTATAAGCCAAAGACATACATGAGGTCATATCAACCAATAGTTCACCACATCCCTTCTATGGATTAGTGGGTTAAGGGTGGCTTGCCTCCAATTAGACCTCCATTTCATAGGTGACAACCAGGAAAACTCAAGAGAGTGAGGACAAAGGAGCCTGGTGAGGTTCAAGTACCAGCCCCCAAACCCACCAAACCCTTTGCCTCCAGGTTACACTACTCCAGCAGCAAAACTTAGAAAACTCTTCATTAAGATTAGATGTGGAGCATGTGGAAAAGAAGGCCACAATCGAAAAGGATGTGGAAGACTGATTCTTTAATTTTTTGGGTTTAGTTATGCAATGATTTTTTAATTATTTGGGTTGTGGGACTATGCTATGGTTCTTCCATTTTATAGTTGTGCTTGTATGTTGTGTAAGCTGAGGCAGCCCAAAATGGAAATGCATGCCAAAATCGGGTTGAAGCTGCTGACAATAGAAATGCAGGCCAAAATGATATTTCCCCAACACAAATTAATACCGCCCTAGCCCAAAATAATACTACCGCAGCCCAAAATAATATTGCCCTAGCCCAAACTAATACTGCCCCAGCCCAAACTAATGTTGCCCCAACTTAAACTTACCAAGCCCTAGCCCAAATTCAAGTTAATAGGGGCAAAGGAACAGGTAGAGGCGTATGGAATCAAGCTGCAAGGGTGTCATCTTCACAACCAGTTAGTTGCCTATTATTCTTGCCCAACTCAGGTTTTTTAGGTTTGCCTATTTAGTAATATATGTTCTTTGTGTTTTTAATCTTAGGTGGTAAGTGGTATCAGTCAAGGAAGGGCCAATCTGCCAATGACATCCTCACAACAAGTGTCCTTGCAACCACCATCCTCTTTACTTACTCAAGAAACCACAACCCGTATAGGAATAGTCAAACATAGTGTCAAAACATGAGGACAAGTATAGACTGTGAAGACCTATTTTTTGGACTTTTAAGACCTCTTTTGGACTTTTAAGTACTATGTAGATGTGTATTTTAGCTAGACAATTATAGACTGTCAAGTATACTATTTGGTAATGTTATTTTGAAGGCTCTTTTAATGTTGGATTATGTAATGTTCAGGTGTATTTTGGATTGTATTTTGGTGAATGTTGGATTGCCAATGTTCATTTGGTATTATATACTACCAATTCAGCACAAAATGACCTTAGACAGCAAAAGGTTTCATACACTGCCAAAGAGGCACAAAATAACCTTATGACCAGGTTTCAGCCCAGATTTCTACACTAGCAATTCCTTCCCATATCCTACCCACACTACCAATTCCTGCCCATTTCAAAAGCTTTTGAAGAGTATATATAACATTATGCCCATTTCCTGCCCATTTCTAAACTACCAAATCATCCATATTGATGAATAATATCACGAACATAAAACACAACAGAACAACAACCCATAACCACCTTTGTCTTTGTCGATAACTCAAAATTTCCCCTTCTAGTACAACAACTTGTTTACCCATTCCCAGAATATGTTTTTTCAAAATCTTGATTTCTTCTTCTTCTTCTCACGGTTTTCGCTCTAATTTGTTCTTCTCTTCTTCCATCAATCTGAAGTTCTCCGCCGTTGCTCTCAATTCGTCCTTCGTTCCTCTTAGTCTTCTAAGTAACCCAGGCAAGATTTCTTTTCCTCGTGGGCATGTTTCATTCTCCACCCATGCAGAAAAATGCAACCCCATTTTACTGTTATGCAATTGAAACAAAATGAAACACCAATTTCAGACCCAACAAAATCATTTTTTACTTCAACCAATTTTTACAAATACAAAAATTTACCCGATTGTTGCAACATGCCTCAAATCTTCTTTCAAGATTCAGATTTATCCATGAAGTCCGGCGTTTGATTTCCAACCCACACTTGCAGTAACGACGGCTGCAATTTGTATCTGTCGAACTCTTCAACATTTTCCCTTACATTGCAATTTCGGATGCACAGCCCCCTTTCAGTTCTTCATTTTGGGGATTTCTCAAATTCAGGGTTATGAAGCGAATGAGAGTTTCAGACCGAAAGAAAAAAGTGAAGGAGAGTCTTCAGACTCGAAAGGACGCTTTAACCCCTTATTTTGACGGCAAATTGACAGAGTTGGATGGCATGACCTAATTGGAACTGATTGTCGAGTTAAGGGATGCAATTGCCTCAAAAAAAGTTCACGGACCAATTGCAACTGTGGGCAAAGTTCAGGAACGTCTACAGTAGATAACCCTATTGATCAATTATGTGTTCTCATTGTCACGCAAACTAAGCATACAATAATTGAAGTTGGGTTGAGGGTGAATGAATCCATACAGTAAAGACACGACAATGGTGGTCCATTCCATCTTGCATAGATAGAATTATGTAACCAATAATTGACAAGGCAGGCACCCTCTCCTCTCTCATCTAGTGTTGTCTCTCGTCTCTTTACGCATGCTATGCATCATTCATGTTTTCCTTATAGTTGCCAACATTCCATTCTGTTTTTTAACTAGCTAGTCCTAATTTAAGAGTTGTTCTATAATCAAGGTGTCATATATGGCTCATAGATGTGGACATTTATATTAACCACATGATTCATATGAATAGTAACTTCACTTAAGTTTAATGAAATGATCTTGTGACCAATATGAAGGTCCACATGTGGGGTCCATATATGACACTCACTATAGATTTTCACCACAATCCAATCCAATACAATCTAATTCACGTTTTCATACATATTTGAGTGATTGCCCTATCCTTTTTTATTTTGTTTTTCCACCCATTGTCATGACAACCCAATGCAATTACTATTCATATGAGATTAATTTTGTTTATATGTATGAGCATAATAATAATAATAAATTGCTAGGTATGTATAAAAAAAATATTTCTGAATTTGTTTTCAATTAAAATTTTTTTTTTTACGTTGATGGTGTCAGTGCTGACATCATCACCCTCAGGCAAGAACTCGTGCTGTTTTTGTCTTCGGGCCTGCCCAGACTTGGTGGAGCCCACCATATGCCCGGGCTGCTGGAAATGATTTTTGAGGCCTAAAGGGCCTTTTGCTTAAGCTGCTAAGGTGGAAATGCTATTAATGGCCCTTTTATGTCGACTGAGGAGGCCCATATTTACTGGGCTGTTTCTTGTAACACTCAGGGCCTGGGCTTTTGTCTTTCTTTCTTGCTACTTCGTCTTCATCCTCATACATACTCCCCCGCACATGCCCATGGCTTTCTTGCTAGAACGATGGTCAGTCTGAACTAAATAAACAAAATATAAAGTATGGGCTTTTCTCTTTGCTCAGGTGGGTTTTATTTTATGGGTCGTCTTTTTTCTTTTTCTTTTTGGCCTTTTCCCAATTAATTTTTGGGTCGTCTTTAGGGAGGTGGCCTTCATCTGTACTTTCGACCAAAAAAATAATTATATATATATATATATATAATCATCTGTACTAAAATATGGATAATGGACAGTCTCCCCCTTCCCCCAAAAAAAACAAAAAATTATTAATTAAAAGTAGTACTAATTAAAGGAGGGCCACGGGCCACGGGCCACACGAGTAAACCCAAAATAAATGAGAAAAGATTGGTTGAGGTGGGGCCCATCTTCCACATCACATATTTGATCTTTCCCATGCAAGCAAACAAGCAGACTAGTAGCTTTCCAGACCAGAGTACAGACGGTCACCGTCCCTTTCCTTTCCTTTTCCTTTCTTTGGCCTTTTCTCCCCATTTATTCCCTTCTCTCTCTTCTTTCCTTGGCCGTCCACACTTTCTCTCTCTATCTCTTCCCTTTGTGTTTCTGTCTCTCTATCAACTCATCCACGTGTCAACCTGTTATTGCTTTAAAATTTTCAACCCACCGGATGGAGAAATTTTTGTAGGTACCCAATAAGAATGAGACACGTGTAAGAAGGTCCCACATTTCCTTTTTGCCCTTTCTTTTCCTTTCCTATGTGCCCAGCACCCCCCCATCCACACTTCCATATCGTATCGCTCGTCATTATTTTGTTTTGTATTTACCAAATTACCAATATCATAAATAAACATGTTAATTATATTTGAGAGTATCCATGTTTACCGAGTACTAGTGTTGGTTTAATATCTACATAACTAGATTCTGTTCTGTTACAATGTTTACTTTGCATTGCATAGCCATGAGCTGAAGACTTCCACTTCCAGTTGTGTTGTGTAACTTGTGTACATGTGTGTGTGCTTCAGTCTTTGATTGATCACCATTTCAGTCTTTGATGTATCCGACGATGGAAACTTAATACCAAAATTGGAATGCTTGCTTTT